ACCCCCCGACCTCCCCTTCACGGCCGCCCGACCCGCTCACCGCCCCGCTCGGCCAGGCCTCGCCGCCCCGGAAGTGGTTCCCGCCCGGCAGGAAGTGCACCCCGGCCCGCCCCTAGCAACTGCCCGGGGCACCGCGTTGCTAAGGGCGGCCTGTGGGACCGTGGCGGGCGGGAGGGCTCCACCGCCAGGTTCCTCCCGAAAGGCAGCTGAGGCCGCTCGGCTTCACGCTGCCGCGGGCCCCGCCCCGGCTGTGAGCGCCGGTGGGTGGCCACCCTGCGGTGGGTGCCCACGGCCAGGCCCGGTCGGCCCCTCTGCCAGCGAGACACCGCGGGCCTTTACACCTCAGCGTTAATGTAATCGCCCCCTAAATCAGTGCCTGCATTTTAATTCCCGCCTTCAGTAGCGTGGCCTTTCAGTCCTGGCGGGTTTCTCTTATCCTTGAGGTTTTGATCTCCTCCCTTGAAGCGCTCTGGCAGCAAGAATTAAGACGCGTGCTTCTGGCTTTGCTCTTGCTGGGGATTTTTTTTTTTTTAATTTTTAATGTCCCGATTCAGTATCCAGCTCTGAAATTGAGATGTCTCGATAAGATGACCTACAAAGGGAAAAAATGGCTTGTGCTCTGTTTTGCTTGTTTGTGGTATTTAAAGAATCTGATTTGTTTTGCCCTTTTCCTAACCCTAAAATATCAGTAGTGCCAGGTTAGTTTTGCTGCAGGCTTTATTATCAGAGAGCCTAAATACTTTGGGGAAAACCTAATCGGTTACTTATCTACTGAGGGACTAAGGTATGGCATTTGTAATAAAAGGATTTTCTAGGCTGTTACCAAGCATTTGAATTAAATGGGTATTAATGAAAACAATTTCAAAGGTTTTGAGCAATTGGATTAAAAACCTTTCATCTTTTTTAGCGCAGAAGACTTCACAGTCAACTGGAGAATGCACATGGCTGCGAGTTGCAGAGGCCAGAGACACTTGTACAAAGAAATTCTAGCATAAAAATCCTAAGAAAAAAATTACTCTCAAATAATTACCAGAGCTTTCACTGCCCCCAGTGAGTGGCTGTAGTGGCTAAGAGATAAACCCAGAGCTCAGGAAAGGCAGTAAATTCTGCCCTTTCAGCTCCCAAACACTGACTGTTTAGGACACAAAAACACTGAGGAGGGAGAAATAATTCTTGTGAATGTCAGGAGAGATCCTATCAGTCTGGGTGAAACGGCCAGCTTAAATTCTTCCCAATACTATCAGTACACTGAATTTGGTGGTGGTGCTGTCCACACACACCTTCTCGTGGGCTCTGATCCTCGCAGTTTGAAGTTTGCAGGTGACGGGGGAAAATACACACTTGGGTTGCAACCAACACTGTACATTTTCTTCCTTTCTCCTCCTGTCCCCCAACAGAAACGGCACTACGTATTCTAAGTAGAAATAAACAGGTGAAATTTGCAGCTTTTATACAACTCCTACCCATTCCCTCTACGAGACCATCAAACACTTCCACTGCAATGCCAGGCTCTGCACAGGAGACACTCAGCCTTTGAACCACAAGCAGGTGGTGCCATTAGCCCGCTTTGGCTGCCTGCCTTTCACCAGCATCACACTGACCCATTCGTTTCAGCTGATTGTGAAATGATAAAAAAGGAAGCTATTTATAAAATAAGGGAAGATTTTTCCAAAGCCTACTAGATGTGAGTCTGTTTCAAAGCTAAAATTGATTCAACAAGCGGAAATGGCAATTTTGTCAGCACCCAATTCTAAGTAGAGACAGAGCTCAGGCGTGAAGTCTTTCTCCAAATCCAAATCATCCTTAGCTTTTTCAGTTCTTTCTACATTTGTTTTTTGGTTTGCACTGCAGTATTTCCTCATGTCTTTGCAGTGAGACATATTTATTGCCATTCATTGTACATGTACCATACCCCTGTGCACCAAGGTCTTCTCAGGTTGCATATTATTATTCATCCCGGAAAAAAATTAGTAATAACTGCTTTCATTTTTCAGCCCTTACTGGAAACGTGGCCCTCCTCACTCCCTCTCCATAAACTACGTTTCACTTTCTTGATACCAGTAACACATCTCACTCAAATTCCGTTTCTTTTGTCAGAAGCTTTCAAAACACTTTCCCAAGGTGAGGATTAGTAGCAGTGTTTGGATTCTGATGGGAAACGAAGTCACAGAAAATACGCAGACCAACACCCAGCCTGCCCTGATAGGAAAGGGGTGTCACTGGGGTAGTCACTAGAGCCCTCTGCGCAGAGGGTCGGGGCTCACAGACCCTCTCCTACACTGCCTCTCCATCCCAGAGTATGAAGGTCTCAGTGCTTCCAAAAATTAGGAGTAGGGTCCTCAAGTGAGGCACCGGCACCCAAGAACTGGCAGCCGAAGGACCTTTGTAAGCCTGGTCACTGCGAGTCGGTGGCAGGGCTAGGACTGAAGCCCTGTTCACCGATTCTGCTGTAACGTGCTGTGTAACCTTCTAGCCAAGGCTCCTTTCCAAACTGAAATGAGAGTGGTAAGACCAAAGACGAACTCCTTAATTACTGAGATTCACTGCTGGCATCCAAGCTCTGTCTGCCGGGGTTGGAAGAGGCAGGAGATGGTATTCAGAGCCAGAAATTCAGGAACCAGTAACTCTCAAGCCTACAGCTGAGTGTAACATGCTGACATCTGGCTGAAGCTCTTGGCAGTTCACTTGGGTGATGCTGAAACGCTCCAGCAGCTCTGCTAGGAAATAAACAGAGCCAGACAGGTATGGACTCTATAAATGGATCTCACCCACAGAGCTCATCAGGCCTCCTGACAGATACACATCTTGCAGGCTGATGCCATTTGTTCTATTGTAGTCTCAGTGATACGTTAATGTCTGAAGATTAAGTAGGCTTTTCAAGCAGGCTTTTAACACTATGAGACAGTCCTTTCTGATAGCACTTCTTGCACATTTTGAATTACTGATTTGTCTATTTTTAATCTGATCCCTTGCTTCAGACTCATTCTCATAGTGCAAACTGTGCTCTCATCCAGAGGGAGTCCTTCCCTGAGATTATTTTGATAAATGTTTGTATTCAGTTTCCTACCAATCTGAGTTCCTCAAGGGAAAATTCTCCTTGGGAAATCTATTGATGTTCAAAGGATTGAGTCTGGAGGATATTCAGCTCCAAATTCCAGCACTTTATCCTTCCAAGTTGGAGAAACCAAGTCTTGTATGATTTTCTAATGGCAAGTCCCACCACACCTGCTGGGTTTAAGTTTTGGGCCCTCTGCTTCTTCCTTAGAAGAAACTGGCAACATGGGCCAAATCTCATCTTTCTCATCTCATTTTTATTTGCTTGCCTTCCACAGCAGTGATTGCATTTTTGCAAAGAACTTAGGAGTGAAAGTTACTGTGTATGTACCAGTAATGCACAATGTAATTAAATGATTCATGATCAGCTTACTTACAATGTATGTCCTGCCACTTGGAATAAGACATTTGAACCAAAATGTGTCCCATACTACCTCTAAGATGGCAAACCTAGGCAAAAATTATAACTTTTAATCTTAGGCAGTTCTGTTCAATTTACCATTAGGGCATTTGTGATGAGTTAGTCACCACCACACCTCTCAAGTAAAAGAAAACCAGAGAGAACAGTTGTGTGGGGCTCTCTCAGGGGTGGTGGAGATTGGAGAAGCTGGGGACCAACAGCCACCGTCTGTGCCATTTTGGAGAAGTGCAGAAAAGCTTTTGACAGCTGAGAATATAGGGCCTTTTTTTGACATTTGATGAGTTACTTCTTACTGTCATTAGTTTCAACCTCACAAGGTGAGCAGGACCATTTCACATGCTGCTCAGCTTATCTGAAGCTATATGTTGTGCACCTGGAATAGACAGGGGTGATTTTTTAAAGCATGGCATGGAGACCGGCGGAGGTAAAGCTAAGAGGAAATCAATACCTAGGAAATTGCTGCAGAATCCTAACACCGTGTCCTTTGTCAGCGAAGGATTGGCACTGAAATAAAACTAGCTGGCATGTGCTTCACCAAAGGACCCTAGGGAGGTTAGGTCTGCATGGATGTGACTCCGAAATCCAGCAGTTCCAGCTGCAGAAGGTACCTGTGGCAGCTTGTACCTGGCTGTAGACACCATTCCTCATGTTTTGGGAGCCAGTGGACACTAACAACACTACGTGCGGTAGGGAGGAGAGGTGGGGAGAAACTGAGAAGGTTCTAGGGACAAAGCAAGAGATATTGTAAAGAGAGAAAGCTGTTCATTTTGCAGAACAAGTTTGTCATCTGCTGTGCCAAATTATTATTGATACTACCCCTAAAATGAAGTTCCCATGAAGAATGCTGTCACGCAACTAGTACATTTAGACTTTGAATGCCACTGATACACACAGAGCAGCTCTCAGGCTGTGAGAAGTGCAGAACTGCAGCCAGAGCCACCCTCCTGCGTGTGCAGGGGGTACCAGCTCTACCTGCGTGACTACCCTACTACAAAAATGCCATGAGAACAAAGGCCATAGTTACCAGCTCAAATATACACTGCAACACAGATGGATGCAAAACTGGCTCCAAACAACACTGGATCCTACCACAGTCTGTACAGCATCTTCATCCAGAGATGTTAGCAGCCAGAGCACCCATAATAGGACTCAAGCCGAGGCTGAACTCAAGCGAAGGCTGAACTGCTGGCAGCAGTGGGGATCACAGCCATTTCTGCTGCAGCAGAAGTAGCCTCACTAGCCAGAGGGAGAGCTGGTGGAAGAGCTCCACAAATGAGCCTTCTGGGTCCTGGAAAGATATGAAGATTTTGACTAAAGCTGGGATGGGAAATCCCAGGGACAGAAAAGCTGCTCTATTTATGCTATTTCAGAACTCCTAAGCTGGATACACCCAACAGAGCCTGGAGGGGTTTTAGAAATTTCTGCTGCCTCCTGCAACTAATCTGAAGTCATAAAAAGAGCTTGTTGTTGTGCGAGACTTGCTGGGTCCAGCTGCGTATGACAGGAACCCAACCCAGGCAGTGCAAGGAAACCCCTAGGATGATGGAGCTTTATATAGCCTTCTTTGAAAGCAGCTCACTTGAGATATGA